CACAGATGCTGCCAGACCTGCTGAGCTTTTCCAGCAACTTTGTTTTTATTGTTGTGATGTAAACATAATCTCATCTTCCAAAACACAACAGATAACTCAGATTTAACTATATCATATAAATGTTGCTAGAATAGCAAATAGATAACCAAATTACCGATGGAGGAGAAAAACATTAACAAACTTTAGAGAAAGATGGAGAATTTTTAATAGGTTATATCAGCAGGTAATATAACAGATAGAGTACAGTGACATTTTTTGAAGGTTGGGACTACCAAATGTAATTGTTTATTCCTATTCAAATGATTTCTTCTAGGCAATGATAGAATTTCAAAGGCACTATGAATGACTGTTAATGATTCAGACTGTAATATTTTAATTCACTTAAAATAAGCTATGCAGTTCATACAATCCAGAAAAGAGAATCCTAAAAAAATTAACAATAATTTAATTCACTAAGTGGGGTCTTCAATCATTAGGTATTCACTTATGTGGGCCACAATATTAGCATCGCGCATACCTCTTTTGTAGCTATAAAATTTATAATTTTCAGCAATAAAAATAAAACTCGACAATCAATACGTCTTTTTTCAAATAGCCAGATTACTTACAGTAAGGGAAATAAAAATCCTGGAAGCGCCAAGGTTAGTCGCGCATTCCATTCTTCTGGTAAGCACCACAAGTACACGATTATAAAGGCTATGATATAAAGTGTGGATGAATAGAGCACCAGTCTTCCAACCCAGATCTTCTGCAGTCTTTGATTTTTTTCCTTGAATTCTTCCAATGCATTTATTTCCTATCAATAAAAGCACTTAAGTTTAGTCTATTTTATTCTCTATAATTTGAACTATCAAAAGTGGTTAGTTCTAGACAACAGAATCGAAGAAATAAAGAGGTAGACTTAAATGCTAATTCAGAAACGTTCCACTACATTTAAGTAGCACTGCCACTCTAATACTATACTGCCAACAATTTTGATTTCATTTGGATGACAGGTGTTACCATTTTGTAATGCTACCTTAAAATATGATTTGGCACAACAGCAGCCATCAATCCTGCTTTTAAAAGCTGAATTTTTATCAGATTGGAACCGATCAAGTTACAAAGGAAATGGGAATAAAATAAAATATTTAATGCATCCCATTACGAAAACAAATTAAGTTGCTAAGTGCTTTAGCTCCAAAAGAATTTTTTTTTTCAATTTGGTTTATAATACCTTCCAAATTCAGCAAACAGTTTTGCATCCCCTCTTTAAAAAAAAGCCATACTTCGAAACTTATACTGTCTTACCATCTGGTGAAGGAAATATTACCAACAGACCTCTAATTATAGAAAGACTGCAAATCCATTATTTTAACCTGACCCTTCTGATATCTCCTTTCTGAAATGCTGCTTAAACTTCTACTCTTCACCTTTCATTTGTAGCAGCATGCCCACCATTCTTGTTTTCTTTTTTCTTGTCTATTTACTCTCAAACAATTTTATTCTCTCTCTCACATTATTTAAAAACAGAAGATTTCCAACTATTTCTTTCAATCCACAGCAAAATTCTCAGGCAAAAGTAATCTAACAAGGTTCAGGGTGATTTCTAGCTAACAAGACTGTAATAAATTTGTTGATAACATTACTGCTCTGACAAAGCAGTTGGGCAGGAGCGAGAGTGCAAGAAAAAACTTTTTAAAAATCCTACACACACTTGCTAAAAACCTCATGTCCAGGCTAAGCCTTAAGTTAATTATCTTTGAGAAAGACATCATAGACAAACTACATTGAACAGTCTAAAAATAATAAAGTCCATGGCTGCAGACTTGGATGTTTATGGTGTTTAATTCCTTTGGTCATTCACCACCAGATTTGATAGAAGCCCCTTTTCCAATATTAGAAATCACCACAGATGTACCATACCATACCATAATATGCTCTCATTAGAGATGACTACTGACCCTCTGGTTAAACCACTACCACGCCTCAGGCGAGGGGTGAGCCCCAAGAAGGAAAGCCTTTCACGGTAACTTCAGCAGTGCAGGAATTGAATACATGATGTTGGCATCAGTCTGCATTGCAAACCAGCAGTCCAGTTAACCAAGCTAAACCAACACCTTCATCTTCCCTCTACTAATGCTGCCTATCCTGATTATCCTGGAAAGAAAAGATAATCCATGATGTATTCTAGCTTTCATAAACGATTGCCTCTCCCCAGGCCTCTTTCAAATTTGTCATTCTCATCCCTATCTCCAAAACAAACCTTTATCCTTTAAACAGTCAAAGTTATACAACATGAAAACAGACTGTCTGGTCCAACTCTTCTGCACCAACCAGATATCCTAAATTGATCTAGTCCCATTTGCCAAATTTTGGCCTTTATTCCTCTAAACCCGTTCTATTCATGTACCCATCCAGATGCCTTTTAAATGTTGTAATTGTACCCACCTCCACCACCTTTTCTGGCAGCTCGTTCCATACACGCACCATCCTCTGCATGAAAAAAATTGAGCCACAGATCCCCTTCAAGTCTTTTCCCCTTCAACTTAAACTATGCCCTCTAGTTTTAGACTCCCCTACCCCAGGGAAAAAGACCTTGGCTATTCACCGTATCCATGCCTTGTGTGATTTTATAAACCTCTATAAAAGCTCACCCTTCAGCCTCTGACATTCCAGGGAAAACTGTCTCAACCTATTCAGCCTTTCCCTTTGGCTCAAACCCTCCAACCCGGGCAACATCCTTGTGAATCTTTTCTGAACCCTTTCAAGTTTCACAACATCTTTCCTATAGCAGGAGACAAGAATTGCAAGCAGTATTCTAAATCAGAGCAACCTAACAAACCATCATAAATGCAACTGTCCTCAAGAACTTGAGCACATCACCTCCCAAATCTTCTGAAAAACTCCCTTTTTGAGCCTCTACATTAGGTTTTCAACCTTGTGACAGCATTTAAACCGCCTTCAAGGCACAAATGACATCCAGAATGACCACAATGCACTTCTCTGAACACTCCAACAAATTATCAACATCATTTTCCTCCAACATTCCTCTGTTGCCTAACTGAAGGAAAAACTTTCCTGACCTGTTCTCCTTTTTCCATACCTTGGTGTAACCAGAAAATCACACCGTTGGCTTATCTTTTGGCTAATCACTACTAATTCTCGAGTCGAAGGTCATTATTGGTCCATCCCTATAGCATATTTACACACTGCATCTTCAGCAACATGAGATATGACAGTTTGCACTTGTATTCTGGTGACAGCTAGTTTAACTTTATTACCTCTCTTGAACGTTCTATGGCACCTCTATTCTCCATCTTTACATTTTTCTCACTACTAACATCAAGCTAACTGGTCTATAACTCCCTGTTTTCTACCTCCTTTTTTAAATAATGGGCTTGCATGAACTACCCTCTAATCTGTAGGAGCTGTTCCAGAGTCTATGGAATCTTGGAAGATCGCCACCAATGCATCCACTGTTTCTATAATAATTTCCTTAAGTACTCTGGGATGTAGATTACGAGGCCCTAGGGATTTGTCAGCCTTCAATTTCCTTAACCAATAATGATTTTCTTTAGTACCTTCCTCTCACTAGACCCTGTGCTTCCCAACATTTTTAGGATGTCACTGCACCCTGTTTTGTGAAGGCAGAACCAAACTCTGTATTTAATTGGGCTGCCATTTCTTTGTTGCCCATTATAATTTCCCCTGTTTCTAACTATAACGGACCTACATTTGTCTTCACTAATCTTTTCCTCTTCACATATCTATAGGAGCTTTTGCAATCAATCTGTGTGTTCCCAGCAAGCTTAATTTTGTTATTTTTAAATCCTCTCCAGAAACCTGGGCAACGTTGGCTGACCAGCATTTGTGGCCATCCCTAGTTGCTCTCAAGAGGGTGGTAGTGAGCAGCCTCCTTCAATCACCGCAGTCCATGTGCTGTAGATTAACCCACAATGTTACTAGAGAGGGAATTCCAGGATTTTGACCCAGCAATGGCAATATATTCCCAAGTCAGGATGGGGAGTAGCTTGGAGGTGAACTTGTCAGCAGTGGTGCTCCCAAGTATCTGCTGCCCTTGTCGTTCTAGATGGGAGAGGTGGTCATGGGTTAAGAAGATGCTGTCTGAGGAACTTGGGCAAATTTCTGCACCTCATCTTGTAGGTAGTATACACTGCTGCAACTGGGCATCAGCAGAGGAGGAATTGGATACTAGTACATGTGGTGCCAGAGCCGCACTCAGCCAGGCAAGTGGGGAATATTCCCTCACCCTCCTGACTTTTGCCTTGCAGATGCTGGACCACCTTTGGAGAATCAGGAGCTGGGTTATACACTGCAGCATTTCTCACCTCTGACCTTCTTTTGTAGTCACTGCATTTATACAGTGAGTCCAATGGAGTTTCTGGTCAATGGTAACCTGCAGGATATGGACAGTGGGGGAATTCAGTGAATGGTAACACTATTGAATGTCATGGGGTGGTGGGTAGGTTATCCCTTATTGGACATGGTCATTACCTGGCATGAAAGCTACATATCACTTTTCAGCCTAATGTTGGAGGTCATCCAGGTCTAGCTGTATTTGGACATGGACTGCTTCAGTATCTGAGGCAGTTGAATATTGCTGAACATTGCATAATCATTACTGAACTTCCCCACTTCAGACATCATGATAGAGGAAAAGTCATTGATGAAGCAGCTGGGCCTGGAACACTATACTGACGAACTCTTGTAGAAATATCCTGGAATAGAGATGACTGACCTCTGAACGCAACCATCTTCCTTTGTTCCAGATATGACTCCAAGCTGCAGAACATTTTCTCAACCAATTTTCACTGAGTGCAGTTCTGCTATGGCTCCTAAATGCCATACTCAGTCAAATGCAGCCTTGTCATCAAGGACTGTCATGCTCTGACTTCTGGAATTCAGCTGTGTCAATATTTGAACCCAGGCTGTAGTCCGAAGCAAACTGGCAATCAGTTAGCTTATTGTCATATTGATTTATGATATGACAGCTTGATAGCACTGTTGATGACGCCTTCCGTCACTTTACCCATGATCAAAAGTACGCTGATGAGATGGTAATTGATCGGGTTAGATTTGTCCTGCTTCTTAGGTAAAGGATATACCTGGGCAATTTCTCAAATTGTCAGGTAGACAGTGCTGTAGTTATACTGGAATAGTTTCGCTAGAGGTGCAGCAAATTCCAGAGCACGTCTTCAGTACTATTGTTGGGAGTGTTGTCAGGGCCTGCAGCCTTTGCAGTTTCCAGTGCCTCCAGCTATTTCAGAAGATCACATGGAGTGAATCAAATTGGCTGAAGACCGGTATCTGTGATGCTGGAGGAAACGGAGATGGATCATCCACTCGGCATTTCTGGCTGATGTCAAGGGCAGTCACTCACACCTCATTTCTGGAAGTCAGTCCTCTTGGACTAAGGGTGTAATGAGGTCAGGTGTAATGAGGTGGAACTGGGGAAACCCAAACTGAGCATTGGTGAGCAGTTTATTCCTTTGTAAAGTGCTGCTTGATAATGATCCTTCCATCATTTTGCTGATGATCGAGAACAGACTGACTGGAAAGTAATTAGCAGGGCAGAAACAGTCCTGCTTTTTGTGCACAAGACATACCTGGGTATTTTTCCACATTGTTGGATAGATGTCAGTGTTGTAGATCTTGTTATTTCTGGGGCAGAAGTCTTCAGCACTATTGAGAGAACATTATCAGGGCTCAGATCCGTTACAATATCCAGTGCCTCCAGCAGTTTTTTGATATGAGGTGGATTGAATTGAGTTGTTTGAAGACCGGCATCTGTGATGCCCGTGACTTCAAGACAAGATTCAGATTATTTGTTTCATACTTCTAGCTCAACATGGATGCAAAGGCATCAGTCATGATGTCACAGATTGTAATGGCATACCATTCTGCTAATGTTAATAGCGCAGCGTCTCAGATATGCCCTTAGTTTGCAGCAGCAGGAGCTCCACGGTACATAATTTTTTTTATTCATTCGTGGGATGAGAGTGTTGCTGGCTGACCAGCATTTATTGCCTGTCCCTAGTCATCTTTGAGAAAGTTGTGGGGGGCTGTTTTCTTGAACTGCTGCAGTCCACCTGCTGTGGGTTGGTAGGGAATTCCAGGATTTTGGCCCAACACCAGTGAAGGAACAGCAATATATTTCAAAGTCAGCATGGGGAATGGCTTGGAGAGGATCTTGCAGGTGGTGGAGTTCCCATGCCTCTGCTGCCCTTGTCTTTCCAAAAGGAAGCGGTCATGAATTTGAAAGGCGCTGACGAGGATCTTTGGTGAAATTCTGCAGTGCATCTTGTGGATAGTACACACTGCTGCCACTAAGCGTCGGCAGTGGAGGCAGTAGAGGTTTGTGGGTGTGGTGCCAATTAAGTGGGCTGCTTTGTATGGTGTCAAGCTTCTTGACTGTTGTTGGACCTAGACCCATCCAGGCAAGTGAGGAATATTCTACCATATTCCTGAGTTGTGCCTTGCAGATGATGGACAGGTTTACGCAGTCAGGAGGTGAATTACATGATGTAGTATTCCAGCCTCTTACCTGCTCTTGTAGACACTGTAAACACATTGAGTTTCTGGTCAAAGGCAAGATGGTAACACCATTGAATGTCAAGAGGTTGATGGGTGAATTGTCTCTTACTGGAGATGGTCATTGCCTTGCATTTGTCTGAGCGAATATTACCAGCCATTTACCAGCCCAAGCCTGGATATTGCCCAGATCTTATTGCATTTGAGCATGGACTGCTTCAATACCTCAGGAGTCATGAAGGATGCTGAACACTGTAATCATCAGCAAACATCCCCAATTCTGACCTCATGACAGAGGGAGGGTCATTGGTGAAGCAGCTAAAGGTGACTGGGCCTAGGACATTGCCCTGAGGAACTTCCAGAGAAAGGTCCTGGAGCCGAGATTACTGACTTCCGACAACCACAACCATCTTCCTACATACCAGGTGTGACTCCAACCAAGGGAGGGGTTTCCCCTGATACCCATTGATTCCGGTTTTGGCATGGCTCCTGGATGCTACACTCAGTCGAATGCAGCCTTGATGTCAAGAGCTGTCACTCTCACTTCATCTCCAGAATTCAGCTCTTTTTGAACCAAGACTATAATGAGGTCAGGAGCTGAGGGGCCCTGGCAGAGCCCAAACTGGGGCCACTAAGCAGGGCTGAGCAGCTGCTGCTTGATAGCACTGTTGATGACACCTTCCATCAGTTTACTGATGATCAAGAGGAGACTGATGGGATGGTAATCAACTGGGTTTGATTTGTCCTGCTTTTTATGTATAGGTCTTACCTGGGCAACTTTCCACATTATCCGATAGATGCCAGTGTTACAACTGTACTGGAAAAGCTTGGTTAGGGAAGTGGCAAGTCCTGGAGCACAAGCCTTCAGTACTATTGCCAGAATGTTGTCAGGGCCCATAGCCTTTGTAATATCTGATGCCTCCAACATTTTCTTGATATCACGTGGAGTGAATCGAATTGGTTGAAGACTAATATCTGTAATGCTGGGGACCACTGGAGGAATGCTGGAATAATGAACAATGCTCTCCACAGGAAGTTGAAACTTCAACTTCACTAGGAGGATGCACGGATCACTCTGACAGATGCTTCATGGATCAAAACAATTATTACAGATAGATTCACAGGAATGGGGCGGTTATGACTCACCACTAATTGACTCATCATCTGGCATAGGCTCATCTGACAGTATGCTCAGCAGTGTCCCCAATAATTCAAGTTTTCTGAAAGTAATGATCAAAATCAAGAAGTAATACTTTGTCAGGGGCTGCAGAAGCTGATAGCCTGCTGGTTATCTCACAATTCTATCTAGACTTTGCTTCACATGAAGCCATAAGATTGCTTGGAGTTGGAAGTTAATATTACAGACTCCGAAAACCCCTTCCGCCTGACTGAACGTCACTGTGCCCCCATCTTGGCAGTCTGTTCCAATGATGGAACAGAACCTTATGTCAGGATGGTAACAAATAATCAGAGGTATTACCTCATATTCATACTCTGAACCCTTTCTATTTAAGGTTGTCACTTGATAAATTTATTGGACAGTTTTCCCAACTTGATTATCCATCTTCAATGTTTATAAGGAACATTTTTCAGGACCCACTAGGCTGAACTTGTCTAATGTATGTTCTGATTCAATAGCTGTTTCATAGCCATTAGGCAGAGTTGATTTTCTCCTTATGGTTGAACTTTATAGTGACCGCTTTACAACAAAATGGTTTTCTAGACTACTTCAGATGGTCCCAAAGTACACTGTTGAACTAGGTGGGCTTTAGACAAATACAGCAACTTTCACAGTTACAATTCCATAAGCTGTATGACTGATATCAAACTCGGGAATTTAGCTCCCGCATATTGATTCTCCAAAAAAAAAACCTAATTCAAATACAGCCAAGGCACACCAAATGAATCAAACTTCAAGTTTCAACTCCCAATTTTACTGAAGACCAAACATTTCTCTCACAGCATTGCAAATGCCTGCACTTCTCATGAGCCATTTCAAAACAAACCACTCCTCTCCAGTACTACCAAAGCATAGAATTCCTACTCCGATGCTGTTAAACTCAAACTTACACATGCAGTTTTCAAAATTCAACAATAACTTCCTTAGCGCTACTGAATCCCAGTATACCACCTCTTGCCCCATGCGGTTGAATTCCAAGAAATGATACAAAACACAAGGCCTTCCAGTCTTGCTAATCCCAAAGGATATCCCACCCATTTCTGCCAAATTTCACAACTGGCCCATACTTTGTAGATAGCAAATTCTACATCCATTCATCTAATTCAAGATTCGCTAAACTCCTCAGCCTTCAGATGTAGTGCATCATTCCCAATGTGCTGAAAAAGATACAAAATGAAGGAGATACATAAAAAGGAACAAATGATGATCACTATGATCAATCACAAAGTGGTTATCTATTAATTTTTAAACTCAACTCTCACACTCCAGGTATTACAATGCCAAATTTCTATATCAAAGAAGAAGAACATGTTTTAAAAGAAAATTTAGTCATTCACAACAGAAAGTTTCAAATGTCTTCAGGAAGCATAGTTACCTTTATTTTAAAATAAAGGAAGAAGTCTGACCTTTAATGAAAAAAGCTACTAAGTTAAGCACAGCACATTCAGCTGAAAGGGTATATCAATCTGCATACAACTAAATTTTAACAGAGCAAGTACAGCTTAATTTCCTTGTATTGTGCAATAATGTATCCCCTAAACAAATGCACCTGTTATAGGAGACTATATAGTAGTTTAAAAAAAAAGATACATCCTACATCCATTCATCTTATCGCATTGTTACACCTTCAAGTTTGAAACTATACATCACACTATTAACAGACAAGTTCAAGTATTATTTTTGTCAATGACAAAAAATATGTGCTCTTAGAAACTGTAGTTCTCCTTTAGGTCTTTGGCTTTTCATAAACCTTTTTGGTGCTTCAGTGACTCACTAACCTGCTTTGGAAGTACATTATTACAGGTCCACGATCAATGGTAGACTTTTTCAATGTCACACATGCTAAACAAATTGCATTCTCCCAGTTTGCATGCTTAATAATTCACATATTGCCACAATTTTTGACAGTTTAGTAAAACCTCAAATGTATGGTGAAAGGAGGTTCATGTTTAACACTAGCATGGGCAAGCTAGGCTATTTCTGTGCTGTTCATGCTGTAGAATTTTGTGTAAATTTGTCAATGAATAAACAAAAACTTTCAGGTAGCATCAAGTTATTTAAAAAAAAACACCAACCAACTATCAAACAGCCAATAACAATACTCTGAATGTTGAAAGAAAACCAATGAAAAGCTGATTTGAAATATTCTGCAACTCCTTTTGCCAACAGCTTGTTTTTTTTTCAAATCAGCCACAAATAAACAGGCGACACCCTTATGAAACATAAAAACCCAAACAATCTGCAGAACTACTTGACTATCTGAAATGCACAATATAAATTTTGCCTAAGTCCTAACTCTCTAATGGTGTCAACTTCTAATATGGCCACTCAGATCAGAATTGTTGCACAATGCTTACTGTGGTGCGTGTTCTGCAGTTACAATGAAATTTTAAACAGGAAGCAATCCTAGAAATGGAGTATTATACAGCTGCAAATACAACAAGATCTAAAACCAACCAAAATAATGATATATATTTATAAAAGTGTAAAATTGTAAAAGTGAAGACTGGTACCTTGTCAATTTTTTCTAATACTTCTATAGTGGAAGGTTTTGCCTGCATTGAAAGAAACAAAAGAAGTGTTAAACAAAAATCATAAAATATATTGATATAACAAGTGTTTAAATGAATTGCACTGTTCATTGCTATGAAGAGAATCTCTTGTTCCTTTTATGATAGGTTCGTCCTCTTAACTGATGAGTTATGTTCGAAGATACCCTTCCAACTTCATGTGAGTTTGTTTAGGACAGATCAGTATCAGTAATCTACACAGACATGTGTATGCCATTTTGATGGCACATTGCATTATAAAATGAAAAATTACATGACATCACCCCTTGCATAAGTATCCTTGTCAACAAGTTGTTAACACACTTAAAAAGACATACACCGCTTTTGACATTAAACCTTGCTGGAGATCCTACATCAAAATCTGCATAAATTGCAGATGTGTTTTTGTTACAAGCACAGAAAGGGGGAAAAACTGCAGTTGGCATAAACTTTTAAACTACGCAGTACTCCACAACTCTTCATGCTTCCACAAAAGTACCTAATCAATACTGTAATAAAACAAAGAATTCATAAAATTACCAGACACCACAGTGGTTTTGCTGTCTCCCCACTACCAAGGCACACTAGAGTTTGAACAAGGAGCAGCATGAAAACAAAAGGGAACAAGGAAGAACAAAAACAAACAGCAGCCGTTCAGTCCCTTGAACTTGCTACACGATTCAATGACAGCAGTAAGATGTGATGAGCCAGTTTTAAGAGATTGAGGTGGTATTATACTGCTTTAAGAGGACAGCATGTTTTTATTTCCAGCTTCTTTATGCAACACAGCAAAAATATTACATCTTTCATTATTATAAATTAATTTGATTGCAGAATCCATAATTGCTTGTCTGGTCATTCATGTAATATCTAATTTCTGTATCAATTACATCAAATTCCTGTTTCACCTTTTTGGGCTACCAAAGTGTGTATATCAAATAACTGACCTGGTTGGTTTCCATTTCTCTAGAAACAAAAACAGGAGCCTGGACTGCTACACCAATAATAATGCAGACTAAACTTCAACATATTTCGATAAGAAGGCACTGATATGGTATGAAGTGTGGTATTAAGATATTAATATACTTGATTCTCTACAATTTATTCCCAGTCAATTTAAACAAGGTTTGGTCAGAAAGTCAGCAAGTAAACTGTCCTACTGTCCACACACTTAAAGCACTGTGAAAACATATAAGCCACCCTGAAAGCTCACCAGTATGATCATAAACAGCTAAGCCAGAGAAACTTGCAAGTGTTAATTAACATCAGCCAGGGTCATTACAGCCAAAATATTAATTCTACTTTCTCACCACAGATGCTGCCAGACCTGTGGAGCTTTTCCAGCAATTTATGATTTTGCATCTCGTTAACCTTTTTTGGCCACCTGTCCTGCAGTTCACGCATTTAAAAATCATCTTAGGCCTGAATTATATGCTTTCCGGCTGATCTTTAAGAAAGTGGCCCACAAATATTTAGTCATCGCCGTAATGTGGATTTATCTTTTGCGACATTATTTGAATCCAAAGCCAAATCAAAGCCAGATAGTGATGTCATCAAGCAGGGTTTGGAAGGTACTACCAAAGGACTCTTGGAAAGTTGCTGCAATGCATCTTGTAAATGAGACACTTATGTCACCGTGTCAGCTGTGAAGGAAATTAATGTTGGTAGTGGTGAATAGGGTGTCACAATCAAGTAGGCAGCTTTTTCCTGGATGGCATCAAGCCTGTAGTCAGTGGACAGGCTCCGAGGAGTCAGAAGTTACAGTCTTGCCATTCCCAGCCTGACTTGCTCTTGTAGCTATATAGCTGGTCCAGTTCAGTTTCTGGTCAGAATGCTTGCAATGGGGATTCAGCAATGGTAATGCCAATCAGCATATGTGGGAGATGGCCAGAACCTCTCCTGGTGGAGATGGTCGTTGCCTGGAACCTAAATGGCAAGTAAGGCTCACTGTCACTTCTGACCTCATAACGGAGATAGGATCATTGAGAGGACAGCTGCAGATGGTTGGAGCTAGGCCTTGTTCAACTCTTGTGTGATGTCCTGCAACTGAGGCAATTAACCTCCAACAACTATAAAGCTTTGTACTAGATATGACACAGTGGATTGAATTCTACCCACCCTATGGTACCCAATGACTCCAGATTTGCAAAGGTTCATGACGTCACACTTGATCAAGTGCCTCTGGAATGCAACTCTTTCGTCCACATTTGACCAAGGATGTAATGAGGTCAGAAAACGAGTGGCTACGTTATTGCTGTGAAAACATTACTTGATATCATTGTGGACAAGCCCTTTCATAACTTGGCTGATGGGATGGTAATTAGTCAAACTGGATTTGTCTTTTTTGCAGCAGCAGCAGCATTGACAAGCCTGCACATTTTTTCCACATTGTCGGGCAAACGCAAGCGTTCTAAATATAGTGAACAAATCAGTTAGGGACACGGCTACTTCTGGATTATGACTTCAGTACTATTGCCTGAATGGTGTCAAAGGCCACTGCCTTTTCAGTATGCAATGTCTTCAGCCATTTCTTGACATCACATGCAGTCAATTAAATTAGTTGAAGATTGGCATCTGTGATGTTAGTAACTTCAGGAGGAGGACAAGATGGATCATCCACTCAACATTTCTGGTCGAAAATAATTGCAAATGCTTCAGCCTAATTGTTTTGCATTGATACGCTGGGGGTAGATCCATCATTCAGGATGATAATATTTGTGAAGCACCCACATCCTATTAGTTGTTTAATTATCCACCACCATTAATGACTGGCTCCTTGAAAAAACACCTTAAAAATCTGCAACCTCAATCAGCTTGAAGGACAGGGGCAGAAGATGCACAGGAACAAGGCATCTGCAAGCTCCCTTCCAAGTCACACACCATCCCAACTCGGAACTATACCGCCATTCTTCATTGCCAAGCGTTCAAAATCCTGGAACTCACTCCCCAACAATACCAGATGGCCTGCCTCAGATCAAGAAAGCAGCTCACCATCATGTTCACAAGGGCAATTAGGGATGGGCACCTAGCCAATGGTGCTGACATTCTGTGAACAAATAAACACGAAGTGTGGCTGGTTGGAAGTGCTTGGATCAGATATGTTGATTGTTAGATCGCTGAGCTCTGACTATCATATTAAAGTTGTCCTCTGTTGGAGCTTCACCAGGTTGATGCTTCATTTCTTGGTATGCTTGATTCTACCCCTGGCAAGCCTTCTTGCACTGTTCACCAAACCACAATTGATCCACCAGCTTGATGGTAATGATAGAGCAAGGGATAAACTGAGCCAAAATAATACAGACTGTGGTTAAATGCAATTCCTGTACTGCTATTGGTCCGCAGTACCTCATGAATGCCCAGTTTTGAGCGGCAAACCCATTCTGAATTTATTCAATTCAGTCAACTTGCTCAGGTACAGACAGGCAAGGCCAAGTGATGTGTGCATTGTAAGGGAAATTTCAGCTTTATTTATTTACAAATGATAATGAATGGTTAATGCTCAAATTTGAAGAACAACACCTTAGCTTCAACCTGGGCACCCTACAACCCAGAGGACTCAACATTGGAGTTCTCAAATTTCAAATAACCTTGTCATGCATCCCTAACCTCCCTTTCCAGCCCCACCTCCTCCCTTCCATTCCACCTTCTGACCCTCCCTTCTAGCCACCAACCGGATTCATCCTTCCCATTGACCAACTAGGTCATACCTACCACCAGTGTCCAGCTACCACCACCATTCCACCTCCAGCCCTTCATCCCCCCCTCTCTTTATCTGCAGCTACCCCTTCCCCCACATCCAGTCCTGAAGAAGGGCAATATCAGAAATGTTGACTGCTCCTTTCCTCCAGATGCTGCCTAGCCTGCTGTATTCTTCCAACCTCCTGCTTGTCTACAATGAATGGTTGATGATTGATTTGCATTATGACCTGGCCTCTATATAAAGTCAAAAGTTGAGATGTTCGCTGAAGACTGCACCATGTTCAGCACCAGTTACCACTCCTCAGATACTGAAACAGTCCATGTCCAAATGCAGCAAGACTTTGACAATATCCCGATCTGGCAAACAACTGGCAAGTTACATTTACACTACACAAGTGCTAGGCAATGACCATCACCAACAAAACAGCATCTAACTACTCCTTGACATTCAATAACATTACCATCACTTAAATACCCACTGTTGACCAGTGACCAGAAACTGAACTGGGCTAGCCATATAAATACAGCGGCTGCAAGAGCAAGTGAGAGGATAGGAATCCTGCAGCAAGTAACTCACTAGGCTTCCCAAAATCTAGCCACCATCTACAAAAAGCAAAAGTCAGAAGGGTGATGAGATATTCCCCATTTGCCTGGATGAATGCAGCTCCGAAAACATCCAGGACAAAGCAGCCAGCTAGATTGCCACAGCATCCACAAACATTCATTCCCTCCACTACTGGCACTCATTCATAGCAGTGCGGTACTATCTACGAGTTGCACTGCAGAAATTCACCAACGTTCCTTAAACAACACCTTCCAAACTCACAACCACTACCACTGCCACTTAGGAGGGATAGGGAAGCAGATCACATAAACACCAATACCTCGAAGTTTCCTCCCAAGCTACTCATCGAATTGTGACATGGAAACATATTGCTGTTCTTTTAGTGCACTGGGTCAAAATCCCTTCCCAGCAGCATTATTGTTTATCAAATCACTGCACTGGTTCAAGAAGACAGGTCCCCACCACTTTCTCAAGTGCAACCAGTCACAGACACCAAATATCAGCCAAGCTAGCAAGGCCCACATCCCATAATTTTTTTTTTTAAATAAGATGTTTTCCTGCTCCTCCAACATCCTGTGTTCATCATATTGTTCAGTCTGAAGCTAGTAAAAATACATGCTAAAAATAAAGTTCACAATGAGAAACTTAATTTTAAAAATGGATTCCAAATTGTATAGCAGCATGAAAAGCTATTTAAAAAGGACAAAATATGGAAACCTTAAACAAACCGTGCTGGAGAAACCCAGCAGGTCTGGCAGCGTTTGCAGAGAGAGAAACAGTTATTGTGTTGAGTCTAGCATGAGTCTTCTTCAGAATGGGTTTATTGTTTATTGTTACTGTTTATTGCTTACAGTTTGTTGTTTTGGCTTTGGAAAAAAAATCTTTTAATAATTAATGTTGTATTCTATTTATTTACCTGTTCAGCACTGAACGGTCTTTTCGTTTACAACTTGACCAATTGTACACTGTGCCATCACTTGATATTCCCACAGGACAAACACAGCGACAAGAGTATCTTTTTAACTGTGGAGTCTTGCTGCATTTGGTTAGGTATTGCACAGGTACATCAACTCATAATGAATGCACAAAATCGGCACTTAAGGAAACTATGTACACAAAAAGAAATAAACTGTGTAATCTACAAAAGAAAACTTTAATTATACAAACAGCTGGGGTTAAAAGACTAGATATGCAAATCCACAACTACCTCTGTTGATACCAAGATACAAATAGAGACATACAGAGCAAAAGTCAACATGTTATGTGCAACCTAAACAAATCATTCATACAGTCTTAACTAGAGCATTCTGTCTGATTCTGAGTATCTCATTTTCAGAGGATAATGAAGGCTTTGCAAAAGGCGTGGTAAAGATCCACCAGAATTAGTTACATGGATAAATTGTGTTTGAAACCTTGAAGAGTTTAGGTAGATTAAATAAAAAGAAATAGTTTCCAATCAGAACAGTTGACAGCCAGAAGACACAGATTTAAAATGATTGGCAAACAAACCAGAGGTGACAAAGAAAATTGATTTTACATAATGTGTGGTTAAGATTAGAAATGTAATGCCCAATCACATGGTGGATAGAAATGTATTCACAGACTTCAAAGTAGAATTGCAGAACATATGGAAATAGAACACATGAAAGAGAAAGAGCATATAACTGGACTTATTTTCAAAAGAGCTAGCACAGACTTGATGGGATAAATGCCTTCTTTGAATACAGTGCTATTCAATTATTCACTGACAGCATTTGCACAAAAAGTAATAATCTAGCTGTAAACTTATAAGTTTTGAGCTGAAAGAATATTTGAGCTGCACTGGGGAAATCAATATATTTTAATTATATCAAATATGTCAAGTCAATATCCAAAGGATAAGCTCATAGGCTCCAAACTCCTGAGACGGGTTGCAAGTTGCAACAAGACTTCATTAGGCTTTAGCAATTAACCTTCAACAAGGCTACTCTTTAAAACACCACAAGGTCATAGTGAATCAACGCTGTTGTTTCTTCGGGAAATAAAGCATAAAATGACATTGAACTTTATTCAAATTAAAACCACGTAGGTAACACAAAGAGGGCACCTTTCTGCAGGATGAGTTTCACTCTGGTTTGCACCACATATAACCTGAAGAATTACTAGGATTCTGTGATGGAAATCAATTTTTTTAGGCATTCCCCTTAATGAAAGGATGTCTCAGCATCTTTCCATTACATCTGTGGCTCCTTTTAACAAAGTATTTTTTTGTTAAAAACCTCAGATTGGTTCAAATGTGTACTTGCAATATTCCTAAAAATAACTTCTGTTAGGATCCATCATTAGGTTCCAATAATAAATTGTCTAGAGTTTAATCTGAGGACAAAACCTTACCAGAATTCACAAAAAAATAACTTTTCTGTCTCCTTTAATACTTTGGAGTTAAAAACTGGCACCGTCAAAAACCATTCTAATTTACTTATCCCGAACTATCAGATTTGTTCTGAGTTATGATACGCTATCAAATCAATGAGTAATATTTTATAGCAAGATTAATATCGGCAACAGCACCAGGATGCATACTGGCGGTCTTCAGATTTCAAAGTCAAAGTCAATTAGAAAGATATAGAGCATCAAAAAAAAACTTCTAACACACCCTCAACTTCACTAAAAGGCCAAAAAAGCTGTAAACAGAAATCCCAGAAACACTTGTAAGACATTCATAGCAAATTGCAGTCATGAATAAAAAGAATTACAGAACTTCTCTACCCTCAGGCCAAGCCAGTAGCCAACGTACACATCTATCTACCTACATTTCCTAAAACCAGTGATCATGTTAACCTACACCACAGAAAACAGTTCAAGAGACAGAATCATAGAATAAAACTGCAGAATCCCTCCAGTGCAGTTACAGGCCACTCAGCACATCAAGAGCATCCCACGCTTTCCCTGTCACTCTACGTTTACCATAGTTAACCAACCTTGCCTACACACTATGGGGCAATTTAGCAAGCCAGTCCATCTAACCTCTTTGGGCTGTGGGAGGAAACCGGAGTACCCAAGAGAAACCCACGCAGACATGGGAAGAATGGCTCTTCTGGCACATGGCAGTGTACTTAACCCTGAGCCAAGAGGCCTGGGTTGGAGTGACACCTGCTCCAGAGGTATGTAATAACATCTCTGAACAGGATGATTAGCAAATATCTTTAAAAGTTCAAGATGGCTCACCACCAGCTTCTCAAAGGCAATTAAGGATGGGCAAAGGCTGGTCTTGCTACCAAAAGTCTTAATGCATGGGATAACAGAAGAAAAGAAATAAAAGAAAAATGCTATTGATGCTGGAAACCTGAAATAAAAAGAGAAAAGAGCGGAGAAACTCACAGGTCTGGCAGCATCTGTGTATATAAAGTGAGTTAACTTTTCAAATCCAATACAACTCTTCTTTTGCTCTGAGGAGTCATATCAGACTTAGCGAGTGTTAACTCTATCTCCTTGCCCCCCCATTCCCACCCCCACAGAAATTAACAAATGCTGATTTTGTCCAGCATTTTCTATTTTATTTTAGAAAAAAAAAGCTACTTTAAATTAACTACAGTTAATTTACATCTAAAGACTTGTTTTGAAATATGATTGCTGAGACATTTAGCTATTTGGATTGTTAATAGCTAGCACATTATTTGAATTGAAATTGAATTGTTCACTTACCCTCCAACAAGAAAGCATCGCTCCCATTTTAGTTTACTCCAGTTGCGTGACACAGATAATCTAATCAATCTATTTGTATGAAGAAACACAAATAATGCTGGATCTGTGGAATTAACAAGTCCATCCATCAAAATGCAAATTTACAAAATAGGATGCAAACTATATTTAAAATGAAATTGCACATAACATTAAAGCTTTGACTGCAATTTTGAAAGCTAATTTCAATTCTGGAATCAACATTTTCAGTTTTATACATTTATATAAACATCACATTAGCAGAATGTAAATTTGCTCATTAGAAACTGTGGTGTACTTTTTATATAACCTGAACTGTCTAGGTTTAGTCAGTTACCCATTTTGTTCTTCATTGCCATCAAAATAAATACTTCTTCACAGCCAACAAGGTATTTCTGAAGGTATAGTCATTTTTGTTATGTCAGGAATACATTAAACAGATCAAGATCCAATAAAGAGCAATAAAGGTAAATTTCAAGGTAATATGTTTATTTTGACACTGAATGAGGGATAGATATTGAGTAGGTCAAAAGGAGTGCCATGGAATCTTTTACAGCCATTTAAACAATATCACGATCATGTGTCATATATAAAATAAAAAAAAAGAGATTGGCTACATTTCGCAATTATACAGTAGCTTCTGTTTTATCGAGCTGCAAATATGGACCAGATCTCAAGACACCTCCAGGATAGATTTAAAACGAAACAGCTCATCGTAACAAAGCTCACCTTCGGTTTAGAAACACTCGCATTTCTGTACCAATATCTAGGCCTCCAGAGACCACAACAATCTTCAGCCTATCAGTCAATTCTGACTTGCAGCCGATTCTATGTGAAAAGCATCACTAACACTGCAGAGGCCCTTCCAGAAGCGGAGAGCGTCTCCTTGCTCGGCCAGGCCTTCTTTCAGGCACCTCACAAGGAGCGGTTCAAGCCGCATGAGACAACATACGGTTCGTCACAACTACAACGACACATCAGGTAGATATTCAGGCGAGCATCCGAACCCAAGCAGAACGAACTGAAACGCCTTACCCGGTACTGTAAGCCACTCACCTAGACCTCCAAACTGCTTACCCTACTTCCAACAGCAGCACATCTTACTGCGCAAGCGCACAGCCCGACCAAGGCGCCTTTCACCTTTCACCCGTATTCCGAAGTCACGTGATGCCTGTGGCTCCTTTCAATGGCTTTAGACCGATTGAGAGACACAAAGCGCAGGAGTTGGGGTAAGGCACAGTGCAAAGGAAGAAAAATTCACGATAAACAGATGATTTAGACATCTCGTATCCACTAAAAAGGCATTCAAATGTTAAAATCTACTTTCCAATCTGAAGTAGTTATTGTATTGCAAGTCTATTTGGTTGTTTTTAAATAATGAATTAACGTGTTTCTACCTCTGCCTGTAATTATAATATAGTTTTGATTACTCCATCTTCTTTAATTTTGCCATTGTTATTTTGTTCCCCGAGTCGGAGGAAAGCAGTAGATAAATAAAACATTTTTGGCAGTTAGTTAAACTCAGAGCTATAGTTTTGTACTCATGCTGATTTTATTCAAAATTGATATTTACATCAGCCTTGTGAATTACATTCAAATGTTTAAATATTTTGATTCAAAGTCTCAATATTTTTAACAACTACAGTTATAATTTTTTTAAACATTTGCAGTGCACTAATCGATTTCGTTATCAAATAGGCACCAAATATGAACTGCTTGCCCAGTGTTGATTTTATAATTTATAAAACGTTCGAAAGTGATCGTATCCAGATCATTCTTTTGCTTGAATAGGTTATAAAATAATAATATGGATGTCGGTCCAGCTACAGCGACGTCACGGATGTTGCTTTTTGAGAGATGAAGTTTCCATTGAAACGAAATTCTAGTCATTTATTGTTTGTATTTGTGCACATTGTAGATAATGGAGACGGGACGGGCTATAGTTTATTAAGAGTAGAGATTTCAGTATACTTTACACGTTTAAATAAATATATAGTAAAAATAATGGTAACCCCCCAATCCAGGTTAGCAAAGTCTAGGTACATTTTACTTATAAGAAAGTTTTTTGTTTGAATTTTCAACAATTAATTTCGGAAATTATTTTAATTTACTGATACATGTCCACATAGAATGAGGTTGATGTAATTACTGTAAAATAAAATATGAAGCTAATTTTGTGATCTCCTTTGTGATCGTTGATCGTATAAATATCTATAATGAGAGAATGCAGGATTTTGGAGTACAGGTCAATACTTTGAGGTTGGTAAGTAGTTGTAGTCTTTGTGCTATATTTTGGGCTAAAATGGAATTGTGCAAAACAAATGATCTCTCAAAATAAAATCTAGATATAAATTATCTAACATCATTAAACGACTGGTTTGCAAACTGTGGATTGTTTTTATTTGTACAAGTAAAGTATCTTTAAACCTTTTTGACCTAAAGGATAGGTGTTTTAACTGGCCGTCAAATTGCAGAATCTCCGTGTGTGTTTCTTCGTCGTGTGAAAGGTACATCGTTAAACATTACGTTTGAGCAAAAACTGATGTGAAAGCATTTTAATAAAAACGAAAAATATATAATTTGGGCCATTCGTTCCATAATACGTTCCATTATTTCATTTACTCCAGGGGAATGTAACTTTTTCTTCTTGAGTATTCGGACTTCCAGTTCTCGGTATTCAATAACATAAACAGCTTAAGAATTTTAAGTAATCTATTTTACCAGTTTAATTTTATTATTTAGTTACTGATCAAGGGGAAAATGTCAAGTGAGGTATACTAACAATGTAACTTAGATTCCGGAAAACGTTTCAAACAATACAATTATGAGGAAAATACAGTAATTGCACCACTTAGTAAACTGTTTCTTTTTTAACGAAATTTACTATAAAGAGAATTTACATCGATACAGCACTGCAATTGCCTGATAAAGGAGCAGGTGGCGTCCGTTTCGTTAAAAAGCATGTCCTTCAAAGAAAAGCACACACCACGCATGTAAAAGGGAGAGCCACGAATCTAGATGTAACAAAATAACAAAGGCAATGTATGTTACCCCGCCCCCAACCTGTAAAGACCTATATTTGCATTATGTAATATCTGAATTCAATCAATACATTCCACAACTTAATCGCCTGTAACAAAATCGTGTACACTAAAAGACATTGTGGCACTTGATGCCCCATTTTTGAAATCAATAGCAAACTCTAGAAGCGACTTTTGTGAACAGGTCCTATAATTTCAGTTGTTTCCTGCGCATGTCTCTGTATAAATACGAGTTATGATTGTCATCTTCCAGAAACATTGAAACCTCATTGAAGGTTTGTAACTTGCGCTCTCTCCCAGTGTCTGCTTCATAAACTCACTTTATTTTGTCACAAAGGAAGATATTTGCTATTTTGCCCGCAGCTAGGTCTGTAACCCGTCTGACATTCGTTCAGTGACATGCTGAGTGCTCACTAGTGGCATCTGGTTTGCTCAAAACGCAACCGACCTCTTGACAGGTTTCATGGACGTTAGAGACTCCAATTGAAAGTGACATCTATTTCTCTGCGTGACTCTACAAAAATTAATATTCTGCTTTGAATAAGTAATCAGAATTTCCTAAATTGTATACTTTTACTAGGCACGCGATTTTCCCCAGTAAACAAAGAAAAAGTGTTCAATATCTCAAAATGCAAATTTTGAGCTGCCCTTACATATAAAGTAATATGCTGAGTAGGCTAACTAAAAATACCAACTATCTATATAAGAAAATGACAACAATTAGTCCGTTACGGGGAATTTACGGTAGATTTACCTTTAACACGAACAATGACCTGTATAATAAAGTTGCTCTTTGCACCAACAGACGATATGTAAGTATGGGGTCTGGTTTCGTACTTTGTGTTGATACACGATAAATACTGGCTACCATAATAAGGACGTACGCAGTATGTATCGTTACCCCAATTCAGTTGAAACCATATGGGCAAGTCCTTCCACGCGAGTTAACTGGACTAAATCAAATTTCGCAATGCACTTTAGTTTGATGAAATGCAATAATTTACTGCAGTTTATGTACTTTGATGGTCTGTCCAGAACAAATAGTCAAGAACATGTGCTTTGTTAAGCTTTTGATTGATTCGGTGGCCAACAGTCGCTGTGCCAAGACTGGAAGAGGTAAAAACCTAGTTTGGGAGTCAACTGCATGGTGGACTGAAGTCATACAGAATTACGTGCCTCTTAAGAAGTATACCGTTATGGACAGGTTAGGAATAATTGATGTCAAATATCTGGTAAATTCGTCAGCAGTACGAAGTAGTTATTGTAAAAAATATTTATGCAAGAAATAACGCTGGAAAACCAGCACTGAAGCTCCCGAATAAACCTTTGGATGTTCCCTAATCTCATGCAAATATAAGTGAAAATCTGGACAGGGAACGCATTATTTTTCTCGGACACATACAATCTTTTCGATACAATCTCAAAAAAAGAGTTAAATGATTTAATTTACTGATGTTTACATTCCGAGCTGAAGATTGAATGATTATGAGTAGTTACATTTGCATGTTATTGTATTTGAACGGAAAGCAAATATTGTCGAATCTTATGGACAGGGAAGAACGTTGACGGATTTAAACAAAAAAAGTCACGTGGCAATTTCTTCCAAAATTTGGAGATTCCTTAGTGTACTATTCACTCTATAATCTATTCTGCGTTGGTCAACTAGACAGTTGAAAAGACATGTATACCACTCAACACAGAAGGTTAGGCGCCTTACGTGTAAACATTAATAACGTGTTGGAAAAGCAGATTTGAAAGACGGCATTGTATAAAATATACAAAGCTTCATTGCCGTGGATGAGGGAATAAATGAGACCCCTGTCCACAAAAAAGCATTCAAAACAGCTGTCTAAAAGATCGTTGATTGGAAAGCGTATTATATTGAAATTAATCGTTTTGTGCTCAAGGTCCATGGAGATGGAATTGTGTTTAGCAACACCTTGTTTTCTGAATAATACAAAGTCTAAAACTGATTTTAATTTGACCTTTAACAGCTGATTTCTTGTTTCCCACAAAACACAAAATAATTGGATGGTTTATGAGACTTTTTTAATAATATTTACATAAAGACATTTTTAGCCATTTTTAATGCATCAATTGTACCGAAGTTCACTGTTATTAAAACAACGGGACATTTTTAAATGAGTCTAGGTTGCTCACTGCTTTGTTTCAAATAGTCTGAAGAACACAACCGCCATCTAACCGTTATGTGTAATCCAATGACGGCAATTTCCTTGGATAATTGCGAACATGTTTTAATGCATATGCATGGAAAAGGATTTTTTCCGAGAGATCGAGCATACACGCTTATGTAATTGATTGAGTCGGTGACCTGCTATTCAAAATGTTATTTGAGAACTATCAAAATGCGTAAACTTGCAAATTGCCCAGCTTGTATCTGAATTAATACCTCATTCATCATCATTACGTGTTGATAAGTTAATTTAACCATTTCATTCTGCCTTAATGAGCTATAGTTAAATTAATGCCACATAATATATGAAAGTAACATTTAAATAGAATCACTCAGTTGAAACAAACAGGGGCCGTGCTATTTAGGCTGAAATAACGTTGCATAAATCTTTTCTTCATTACAGCGCCCGGTCTGTTGTAGCAGCAGTTAGATAGGATTCATTTACTTTTTTGCTGAGGATCCAGAAACGAGTTACTTTGCCCAATGACATATGGGAAGGATGCGTGGATGGAATATTATAGTTTCATATAAATTGTTTTCCAGAAACCTATTTATTCTTTTTTAAAAGATGGCTGTACATTTTTTATTCATATATATATATTGCAATAAAATATGTGCTCGCTGCATTTTCCGATGCTTCTATGTTTTGCAGGGAGTGCGGTTTAACTGGCGTCTTTCTGACCACACGCACGCACCATACTTTTTTTTTGTCCTCCTGCAGGTGTCACCCTGCATTACTTGCAGTCAGCTAAATGAAACATTATTCTAAACATATGCATCGTAATCAGTTCGGTCACACTTACAAGAACACGCGTTAATAAGGCAATCAATCACGCTGTAACAACCAAGT